CGTCCTCGTGATTCCGAGTCCAGGAAGGCACACAGCTCATCATGCATCTTTGGCCTCTTCCCCGGCCTCCTCTCCAGTAAAGGCAGAAGTTAGGTCTCGTACATTTTTGGATTGTCCTAGCCCAGGTAACGCTGTCCATTCAGAGCACCCCCCGTGCCCTCCCTCTGCCTTGCTCACTGGCACCTTAGGTTCCTTCAGTCCTTGTGTGTTGGCTTCACCAATGTCAGAGTGGGGGAAATCATCAGCTGCTTGAGAGTGTCTGCTTCAAGTCATTATAAGTTCACGCCATCTAACCTTCCCTGGCCCTCCCTTCAGTTCCGCCGTCCTTTTTTGTTCTTGTCCAAAGCACTTCCAACAGTTCTCTGCACTAATACAGTCCACTGACTTCAAGCTCTCAGCCTTCCCCTCTCGGCATGAACTGGCTGGCATCCTACTTCACTGAGACAGTACTACAGACCATTAGGCCTTCAACGGCCCTCTTCTCCAAATGAAAAACAAAACAAAACAAAACAATATCTTCACTCATCCGGTCTCCTCCTGTCTGAAAAGGCAATCCAAAAGTGGAATCTGTCCACTGACACATTTTCTTTAGTATGTGTGGTTGATTTTTGTTTGTTTTCTTTTTTTATAGCATATGTATACTTTAAAAAGAATATATTAATGCAAAACTTTTATTGAGCTATAATTCACAGCATGCATGCTTTTAAAAACATAAATTAGTTGCCTCTTCAGAAAAAACAGATTGTACGTTGTGAAATTCGGACTCCTGGCTTCTCCTGGACCGTGAGGTCAGACACCATTGGCCTGCACAGTGTACCCGGCTAATACTAAGCATGGGCACGTGCCGTCTCCCACAAGGCGCCTTATTTCACCAGTTCCTCCTACCAGCCAGCCACTTCCCTATGCTGGTCTTCCCACCTAGTCCCAGGAAGCATCTGAATTTGCGGCTCCTTGACCTAAAGGAAGAGCCCTAACTCTTCTCACTCCCCAGGGCTGAGCTCTCTTCAGCCTCAGTCCTCCCCATCACTGCCCAACTTCAAGGAGCCCAGCCAGCCCTGCAGTTGCACAGTCAGGTCTCATCAGGTCTCCTTGAGAATGAGGCACCATCTAGTCAGTACCTCCACTTCCGCTCTGAAATTCAATCCCCAACCTCCTTTGTCTCCCTGTCTGCCACCCCTGGCTCCAGCCCCGCCCAGTGGGCCCCTCTGGACAATGCTCTATTCTGGTTTCCCTCTCACTTCCAGACACTGCCTCTCTGGCCCTGTAGGAATGTTACATTGCTATTAAAGTTCCTAAATACTTACCCCCAATTTATACCATTATAAATCAGCAATGGGCCACACTGAGTAGCCAAGCCTCGAGGTATAAACACTGACAATGGAGGCATTGCTTAGAAATGCACACCAACAGCATCACTGTCTCACAACCTGCCAGGACTCTCCCCTGCCTGTCTGCTTGGGAAAACCCGTGTTCTCCAGCAGGTTCCATGTGCCTGTGACCTGGTCCCCTACCACCTGTCCCGTTTCCTCCCGTCGCACACACTGGAGGAATCCGTGCTGAAAAGGCACAATCTCATGTCGCTGTGCTCTTGTACTTGTGCTTCCTAGTGAAAAGCTCTCCACGCTCGTTACACGGGAGGGGGGGGAGGGGCAGAGCCCCTCCTTTCCTGTCTTACTGGAACACCGTGCACATACCTCAACCGCTCCGTGTGCTGCACGGTGCTGTGTGCTTCCAAGTTTGTCTCCCCGCTGGGCCGCGGGCTCCTTGAGGTCAAGACACAGGTTACTGTACATCTTGGCACCTTAATTTTCTTTAAATGTCTGCTAATTGGCACCACTGACCAATAAGTAAACAACGTACCTGCCACCCTCTGACACTAGGCGAAACCTTTCCCTCAATTCCTACATCCAAATCCCAGTGAAAACCCTGCCACCCCACCCACGTCTAGTTCTAACTTGGAACGATGTCCCTCCATGGTTGGGACTTCCTGCCTCCAGATACAGAGTTTCAGACAAATCCTCCCCTCTCCACATCCCCTCTGACTCCCTGCTGAACAAGGCGCAGTGGCCTTGGCCTGGCCTTTGGGTCCCTCGTGGCTTCATCTCAAGACACCCCCCTCTTCTGGCTTCCAGGCCTTTGCTCACAACCACCTTAGGCTGAGAATCTTCCTGATTCTTCAAAGCTCCACTCAAGTGCTGCTTCCTCCAACAAACTTCCCCTGTGACCAAAGAGTTTTCATCATCTCCCAGGACAACAGCACTTTCCACCAGGAGCCCCATCTCACCTGTCTCCAGCCAATGGAGCCCTAACAACTAGACCTTCCCATTCTCCTCTACAGGAGCATTGGCTAAAAGGTAGGGAGTTAACATTAGAAAAGCAGGAAAACCACTCGCAGGGACCCAGACCAGTTGCCCACATATTATTTTAATCAGAGCCAACCAGTTAGTTAAACGATTCTTCACTCTAAATCTTCTCTCCTCCAAACCCTCTTCCTTCCGCAGCTTAACTTGAAATATTGGAGATGCTGAAGTTTGTTTTCCTGTTCTCAATTTTAAAAATCATGTTAATGGTGTTCTTTTCCTCAAAAGAATGTAAAAGAAAATCCAAAACAAATGAACAAAACACAAAAAGCCCTTGAGTGTGGCATTCACCTCTTATCCATGAGTCTCAAGGAAATCAAACAAAAAAAAAAGAATTTCGTGCCAGTTGGGAGGGTTGGATTATGAGTAACACACATCACAAAGATAACCGGGCAGGTGACACATACATACTTCCAAGATACTGTAAGACACACCTTTTCCAATTAGCTTACGCTAAACTGTGTGGCAGGGGCAGGCAAGAGAACTGGAGTTGGCAGGGTCTGGCAAGACTAGGCAGGGTTCTTTTGGTTGTTTTTTTTAAAGATTTTATTGAGGAACTGGGGGAGGGGAACAGTGTTGGGGTATTTGGGAGGGGGGCCAGCCAAGTTGCTGTTCGTCAATCTTCATTATAGAGGGTACCAGTCGCCATCTGGCTGCCCTTTGGCAGCTCGTGGCCTCTAAGCTCAAGGTGCCGAGTTCAGTCTTAGTTGTGGGTGGGCATAGCCACCATCGAACAGGCAGTCTTGTTACACCAGCTGAGCCATCCTGCCACCTGTTGGCAGCTCAGCAACAGCTCAGCTCGGGCGCAGCGTCACTGGCCCATGTGGGACTCGAACCGGCGGCCCTGTTGCTCGATAAGCCAACTCTTAACCAACTGAGCCACTCAGCCGGCCCAGCAGGGTTCTTATGTTCAGCAAAAGAAGCACTTTCCACGCTTTGGGGCCAGTTTTGACTAAAGCTGAACTGGGAGCAGACACAGGAAGAGTGAAACCAGTCAGACTCCAGCAGAGGTTTCCACTGAGAGCAGATAAAGCAGAGAACTGGGGAAGTCGATTCTGTAAATCAGCTGGAGTTTAGAATGGCAACAGGAGGCCCCAGGAGGAGAAGACTTTTTGTGAGAGGATTAGTTTAATGCAAGTGGTACCAGGAGGGAGGGAGGGAGGGAGGAATGGAGAGGTCAACCAAGTTAGGGAGGGGCACACACCAAGAAAGAAGGTCTTATCTGCAGCCAAGGTAACGGAAAGGAGAGGAATGAACGCAGGTAAGGGACTTCTGTAAGAAACAGGACTCGGTCAAGTCAAATGTTTTAGCCCTGGGTGGGGGGAGAAAGGAGGCGACTCGGAAGAAGTTAGACCAGTTGTCTGAAGTCAGACGAACGGTTTAAAAAATCAAGAACAGGAAAGCAAACTTGATTCATCATCTACAATGTTTTAAGTTAAGCTGTGAAGAATCATACCGTTAAGAGTCCTAGCTCCTCTAGACATGTTAAAAGCAAGCATCCAGGCTTTTTAATCTAAGAAACTCAGGAGTTACAGCTAATTAGATTCTTCAAGGACACTGTGAAATTTCTGAAGCCGGAGGCCAAAAAAAAGGCTCTCCCCCCCACCTCCCGCCGGAGCGCCCATCACTTGGGAGACAGGTCGCCAGAAGGGCGCAGGAAACAAACTCTCTAGGTGTGAATCCTGGCTCCCACACAAACTGCACGGGAAAATCGAGAGAAACGCGGGCACGTTCGAGGCTGGGGGAAGGGTGTGCGTTTTGCTGCTGTTTTTCTGGCTGTGGGGACAGAGGGGCGCTGCTGAAGGGGCCAGGAGGTGTAAATCTAAATTGCTGATCTAGACAGAAGGTGAGTCACCTTCTCAAGAGTTTCAGTTTCCCCAGCTGTTAATGTAAAGAGAGAGAGAGACTGAGAGCGGAGGCTAATAAAACCCACCTCATTAGATTTTTTAAGGGCTGCATTAGATAATCCTTCTGAAGTATTTAGCATAACGTCTGATGTGCTATAACCATGAAGTAACTGTGAGTTGCACATAACATCACAAGAAATAGTGCATTCTTAACACTGTTATTAAACATCCCTCTCTCTCTCTCTCGATACTCTGAGTGTTTTACTGTTATGGTTGTGTCAGATTCTCAAAGGGGGCTGAAATCCCCAAAAGGTTCAGGAGCCCTGTCGGGAAGAGACAAGCGGCTGCGGCGCTGGACCCGGAGGCCGCGGGCCCAGCCATCAGGCTGCGCACCATCCCGAGGGCGGGGGAAAGACACCAACAACAGGCAGCTTTCGCAGCGCGCTCGCTCCAGCCGCTGGGCTCCGCGCTTCCATGCGCATCGCCTTACTCGAGTCCTCGCGACAGCCCCCTGAGGTAGGTGCTTTCGTCAGCGCCACTTACAAACGGGGAAACTGAGGCACCCCGGGATGAAACCGCTAGCCCAAGGTCACATGGCTCGCGAGCCGAGAACGCAGCTCCGCGGGCTCCGGAGACTGCGCTCTCGGCCCCTGCGCTTCGCTGCGTCTCTGCACGGAGGCCGGGGAGGGAGGGGGTGGGGACGCCCAGGGACCACGACCGATCGGAGGCCGCGGGCGCGGGGCCCGGGCCGGGCCGAGGAAGGCAGGCGCGCGGGGGCTGCGGCCGGACTCACCTTGGCGCTGTGCACCGCCTCCTGCGCCCCGCGGAGCTGCAGCCAGATGCGCGCGGGCAGCGGCTCCTCGGACCCGAGCGCGCCGAGCACCGCCAGGCTCACGCCGAACAGGCCCTCGATGCGGCCGCGGCTCCGCTCCAGCAGCGCCGCCTTCTCGGCGGGCGCCGTGAACTCGTCCAGCACCGCCCGGGCCGCCATGGCGGGCGCGGCCTCCCGCGGCGGCGCCGGCCCCCTCAGCGTGCTGCCGCTGTGCCCGAGTCCGTCAGGCGGCGTCGGCCCTCCGGGCCACCGCGCCCCGCCCGCGCCCCGCCGCCAGCCCGCAGGCCTCGCTACAACATCCCGCCTCGGCCGCCGCGGCTTGGCAACTGCGGGCAGAAAAGCCCTCCGCCCCTTCGCCGCCGTCGCCGCGGGCCGAGCCGCGTCACCGCGCATGCGCCCTCCCGCTGCCGTCATTGAGGCTCGCCGCCTCCAAGGGAGGGGAGGGGCCGAGGCGACGGAAGGCGACGTCACTCGCACTTGCCATGTTTGTTGAGGGCAGAGCGATGGCTGGGGAGAGGGGCTCGGGCGGCCTTCTTTGGTGAGGGCCAAACGCGTCCGAAAGACCTGTTGTTGGGTCGTCAATTTCTGGTTTTACAGACGGGGACGTCGAGGCTCGGAGCCAGAAGGTGGGACTGACCCCATGTCACACAAGGGATTTGGCTTGCCTGCAGAAATCTTGAAGCCCGAACTGGGGCTCCAGCGATAGTTCCCCAGCTTCTTATTAATTGATGGGCAGATGGCTCCTCCCCTCCCCCCCTCTCCTTTCTCGCTTTCTCTTTCCCCCTACCCACTTCCTTCTCCCTTCCCGCTTTCCTTCCCCTTGGTTTTTTTTTTTCACTAAAAATGGTAATAAAAAGGAAAAAAATGGGACTAATGAGTACCGAGAATTGAAAAGCAAAGAAATGATTAAGAAAAATTGGGGAACGTGATTTCTTCTGGGAGGGAAAGAGGGAGATGTCTTATAGGAGAGGTAAAAAAAAGTGGAGAACTAGGGGCTCATCCATGATTTCACTGTAAGACTTGGGCAAACACACCCTAACTCCTCTCCAGGTCTGTTTTCCCATCTATAAAATCGGGTTGCACTCAGTTATCTCTACCATTCTTTGAGTACATGAAAGCAGATGGTGGAAGATAAAGCTTAGTTGGTTTCCTTTCTCTGGGCTAAACGTTGTGGAGACGGTAGAGAATTAGGGACCATGGGAATATTACTTGTCTACATCTGAGTTACACATCTGTAACATGTGGTTAACAATAGTACTTCCTAGTGTTGTGAAAATTAAAGTAGTACTGAGAAATAGAGTGAAGAAATAAGATGGAGTCACTCTAGTCAAGCTGCTAAATTACTAAAATCGAGTAGGTTGAGGCATGAGGAAACAATTCTATTCTTGGTTTAACTAGCCTGGGAACTTAAACTTTTGAACTTTTCAGTCCTGCATCAATGCTGGGATATACTCATACATCAAACCCCTGGATAACCCTCTGAAGACCTAGGGGAAAGCGTGTTCCGGTGTCCAGACTATATGACATCCATTTGCCAGGCCACCAGTCACCTAGAAGATTACTATCTCAGACCAACCCAGAGGCTAAAATGCAGGACGGAGTCTTCTCAAGAATGTACTTTTTACTGGAAGAAGGCTCAGCTTTTCTTTCTTCTTGGTATTACCTAGTTGTGTTTCTGGTTTGCAAACCCTCAGACCTTTGAATAAACCTCTATCACTTACTTCTAGCTGAAGACTCCTGACTCGCGTATGCTCAGTCAACAGTACCTGGACAGAGTAAGTGATCACTAAATATTAGCTATTATTATTGCTAAATGAGCAATACATTGAAAGCTCCATTTTCATGGAAAAGCTTTGTGTGGATTATGAACCCGTGGGCCTCGGAGCCCTCTCCGTCTGTTTGATTCTTCACCTATGAGGAGGAAAAAGACATGATCTAAAGATGTCGCAGTTGAAAACACCAAGGGGGAATAGTCTTAGTAAGAGGGATTACCCAAAGTAAAACCTCTGGGGGGGGGGGGTCCTGGCTGCTGGGGTTTTCCGTATGCCTCAGAAACTCAGGCAGGTGTGGTCCCCCTGCGCCCCACCCAGAGATGACTCAGCATAGGGAAGAGAACCTCCAAGACCAGCAACTTCCTGCTCCCCTGGGCTTTTCCCTGGGTGTCCACACAACCAGTCCGGGTCCTCCCTTCAGGTAGATGACCTGTGATTGGCCAGGGCAGATCAAGTGGAGAGCATGGCCTTGCTGATACACTACACCCATAGCTGAAGTCAATACAACATGTTATTTCCTGTCTTCTCAGCAGCACTCACCTTAAATGGAGTTGCAAGTGTTTAGAGATTGGACAGGGCTTCCCCAGGGCAGTTCCTGTTTGCTCCCGGCAGTTCCCTGCTAGTGGTTCTTAATTGCTTCATTGTAAGGGGTGAGGAGAGGCTGCCTTGAAAGGCACCAACCGCTCCGTCCCCTCCCACCTCACCCCCCTAAAAAACCCACCCTATAACAATACAAGCGGTGCCTACATGCACCCAGAAAGAAAGCTGGGCCATTGTTCTGTATTCACAAGTCACTGGGTCGGTGTATCATCAGAGATAACAGCTTTTGGGTTTTTTCCTCTGCTTAGAAGACTTGCCAGTTTATATCTGGTCAGCATTTCCCTTTAGGAAACTCTCAAGGTTTCCTGAGTATAGGGAACAAGGAGAGGGAGGGAGACCGAGAAATCCCCTTTTAAGAAACTCCCTTGCTTCATGCACTTTCTCAACCGCAACTTCCCTCAGTGGACCAGCCTTGCAGAGCTGGCTGGCCTTACCAGCCCAGGGCAGTCGATGCCAGGGAAGACATGTTCCAGACACGTTACCTCTTCTTTAATCTCCATAAGAACCCCCCTGATGGTGTTGAGGGGATCACTTATTTCCCCTTCTCCTATTTTCATGGGGGGGAGGGTGGATTCTTACCCAGTTCCCCGGGGCCAGAGTAGGAACCACCCTCCGGGCGGGTACAGAGGAACACCTCCAGCTTCCATCACCTCTCACTCACTTCTCTGGGGCAGGAGGACGGTTTCTCTGACCCAGCTGACTGGTGACTTTCCCAGAAGGCTCAGTGCTAGCTTGGACCACCCTGCCCCCAGAAAGGGCGTGTTATTCTCCGCTGTCTGTGGCTGCTGCGTGAAGCGTTTTCACCTCAGCCACATCCTCCAGCCCAGCTTCGTCAGTGATGGAGCTGACATTTTGATCTTCACCTGCCTGCTGCCTGCTTTTATTTCTAGTTCTGAAAGCAGGAGTGGGCAGAAAGAGTGTTTATCCGGCCTCCGAAAACTCCAACAGTGGTTGCTATTATTATCATTCCTATTTTCAAGAGGAGGAAACAGAAGCATAGGGAGGCTCTGGAACGTTCCACAGAGCTGGTAAGTGAAGCAGGAGGAATAGGCATTTGAATCCAGGCAACCCGACTCTGCTGGGTGCTCTGACATGCTATGCCGATAATGACAACAAGCCTGTGTAGGTAACTAGGTGACCAGCCCCCCTTTCCACCCTTGTGCGGATGTAGGCAAGAGGAGATAATCTGGTCTCATGACCAACCCCCTAATGCTTGGACCCTACTTGCCTTAAGATGCTGTCAAAAACACACAGGTTGCACATGTAATGTTGCTTGGTACACCCAACCAATCTGATATGCGGAGTCAAGATGCCCCCAGCCAGCAGTCTGTAGGATGGTGTGTCTTCCTGGGTTCTTTGTTTTGGGTGTAAATGACACCCAGGGCTCTGGAATAAGAAACAGGACGCAGTTGTGCTTCAGCCACATACAAGTTTTAATACATTTGCAAACTGTTCAGTTTCTCTCATCTCCCTTGTTAGTCCATACCACTGTCATCATCTCTCCCTTGGACAACTGGGAGGTGTCACCCACGTTCTTTCTGGCCTCTCTCTAAATTTTAGGAGCTACGATTGCTATAAGGTTGGGGGAAATTATTTATAATATCAAAGCTGCAGCCAGACTAATCTCAAATTGCAAATGTTATCTGTCAATCTCTTGCTTAAGACCCTCCAAGAGCTTTTCTTTATGCTCAGAATAAAATACAAACTCCATGCCTTGGATAGCAGCCCTGGCAAGATCTGTCTCCCACTTACTCTACCTCTACTTCTCTCTCCAGCAGCTCTAGCTTACACTGCCTCAGGGTGTTTGCACATGCTGTCCCCTCCTCCCTCTTTCTTTTCAATTAGTTAACTCCTGTTCATCCATCAGATCCCAGTTCAAGAGCAACTTGTTCATGAATTCATTCATTGGCCTCTGATATCGGAGTCAAATCTCCTTGTCACAGGCTTGTGGGGCACCGTTGCCCCCTCACTCACAGCACTAGGGCCAGTTTGTGATATGATTGATTCATGTCCATCTCCAGATGTCCTCAGACCATCGGCTCCGTGGGGGCAGTGACCTGAGGCTGGACTGAGCTTAAAGTTCTCCAGGAATGGACAGCAGGCCAGCTGCAGCCTTTCTTGGCTGGAATGTGGGGAGGCACGGGCCGCCCACGGGTAGGATGCGCTAGTCATACATGTTGTGTTTTATCTTAAGTGCAGTGGGAAACCTTCCCAGGTTTTTAAGCAGCAAGAGCACCAATTAATTTGTGCTCTAAGATCGAGGACTTCCAAGACCAAATCTTAAGAGGACTGTTAGCTTCTACTTCCTTCCTCTTGGAACATGTACTTGTGGAACAGTCTTACTTGGAACCTAGTTACCATGCCAAGAGGAAGCCCAGACAACTACATGAAGGAGAGCCAGGGACCCCCCACACCCCCACCTGACAGCTCCAGATGAGCTCCCGGCTACTGGCCTGAACCAAATACCAGCCATGAGAATGAAGCCATTTTAGACTTTCCAGTCAGTTCAGCATTCTGGCTGACAGCCTGTGAAGCAAAAGAACCATCTGGTCAACCCACAGACTCATGAGAAATAGTAAATTGTTAATTTAAGCTGCTGCATTTTGGGTGATTTGTTATGCAGCGATAGAAAAAAGAAATACATCTAAATTTATAACCCATTGACAGACCAACATAGGAGCCAGACAGATACTTAAATTTATAACTGATAATGCTGAATGGAGGATGTGGCTAGTTAATGCTTTACTCGAGAGCTACACAGTGCCAACAGCTGTACACCCTCAGGTCTTCTGCTCCCTCCCCCCAGGGCAGATCGGGAGGTCCCTTTCTGTGGACACGGAGCAGACAAAACATGCTCTCTACAGATAGACTGGCTCCCTAAGAGAAGGGGGCTGAGCTGAGCATGCTCAGTGTCTTCTCCCAAACTCATCAATCAGATAACTCAATCCTCTCATAGAGAAGAGGGAGTGACAGGTAGGGGGAGACAGGCCAAGAGAGATGGTCTGGCCGGTCTCCCTCCACATGGAAATATGAAGAATGGAGACAAAGAATGTCCCAACAGCGACAAGGATTCTGAACTAGAGAAGGTGTGATTATGCTACTTTAGACACGGAAGGCCTGTCTGAGGAGCTGACGTTGGAGCAGGGACCTGAGTGGAGTCAGGAAGCTGTGAGGGTATCTGGAGAAGAGCTACTAGGCAGAGAGTGTGGTTAGTGTGTTTGCAGAAAAGCAAGAAGACCCCATACCTGGAGCTGGCCGAGCAAGGAGAAGATTAGGGATTGAGGTTGAGAGGAGGGCAGTGGCCAGAGCATGGGGCCTTGGCCTGGGAAGGACATCAGAATTTATTTTACATGTGATGGGACGTCATTAGAAGGCCATCAGTGTTCCTTGATAAATAGATTCTCCCAAGCACAGAGCTGTAAAGGCTGCAGCGTCCTT